GCAAGAAGGCCAGTTATGTTTCAGAAACCATGCAAGCACAAGGTATTCACATACACACAAAGAGGGCACTCAGCTTCCCTGCCAAGACCAATAAAAAGCTCACTTTTTGAAGCAGACGAGGTAAGAACCAATATTCCGGCATAGCTGCAGTCAACACTTTTGTTTGACCGCTACCCAATTTGTACATCTAACCCAGTTTATGAAGAAGATCGAATAATAGAGTCCTATAGGAAATAGCAACTCACTCTGGGAGTTTGCAGAAATGTTTGCATGTTTGTACACTTTTATAAACTGTTTTGTAGAACTGCATTCAGAGAGAGGAGAACTAGCAGATCAACAGCTATGTTACAAGCTCCACAGAGCCACAGCTAAAAGCAGAAACACCTCTCACATCGAAGCATTTATGTGTAATAGCATATGGTTTTGTTGTCTTAGAAAGGTTAAGAATTTTGTAAGTACAATCTCTGATAAGCAAAACATTTTACAGTGTCAATTCCTATTAAATAACCACTAAATTCAGTAGTGTATAGGAAATGTCGCCATGGATTATCAATTAGATTTAATCATTAGTTTTAGTCCATCTTTTCTTTAACTTCAGTTCACCTCAGACATTAATTTAGACAAAACTCTATTGCGTCGGTTTAGCAGATTTGGTGCAGGTGTTTGCTTTTTATTTTGTATGAGCCAGTTTCCTGAACCATCCACTACCGTGCATAACATTTGTTCTGAATTCTTCTGTTAATGCCAGTCATCTGTAACCTGACTCCGCCAGATGGATTTACTTCGCATATCCATCTGGAAACCTTCCGTTGAAGTAATTTTGGGAAGGGGCGAAAATACTGGTTAGCTGATTGGCCTATGTTGGTGATAGACGGGCCAAATAAACCAATCAGATCAACGAAGCATATGACGTACTAACAGAGCGACGATGAAAACACAACCACAAGCCAGGCTACTCTTGCCAAAACCAGTCAGGAGAAGAGCAAAAACATCTTTTCCTCTGAGAAAAGCCTCCAGAGCAGTGTTTTGCTCTTCTTTCAGTGAAGAAATACTCTGTAATTCCGATAAAACTTGCTCGATAGCCACGCTAACGCTAGTTTCATCGGCTGAAGCCGCCATGTTCTTTAGACTGAACTGTTGCGCTTCTTGTTGTGTCACACCTCAACCCGCCTCAAAGCCAACGCTGATTGGACGTTCGTTTAGTGAACGGCTCCAAATTTTCTTTAACGGAGAGTCTGCAGAGTGATCTGTGAGTGAAACCTTGAAAGCTCATGAGATCAGGATGGTCTCACGAGGCTAAGTCATCTGTAGTTTGTTATTCCCACAAATCATGTTTGTTTTTTTTAGATACAACTTTACAAAACAAAAGGCGTCGCTGATGCTGGTTATCCTCCCCTTCTTGTTTTTAATATGTACTGAACTGAGCCACCAGCCATGGGAGGTTTTGTATTTAATACATATCCACTAGAAGGAGATATCAGGCCAACTTTGAAAGCCTGATTTAAAGTGATTTTTTTAAAGTTCTAGACATAATTTTTTATAGTCTGCTATAAGGAAATGTGATGATAGGATTCCAGGGAATAAATCTATCAGCAGGTTTCTTTGAGTTATTTGGTTTGATCGAGGGCTCATATTTTGTAAAAACCAGAGTCTTCTATCCCTTTAAGCCTTAAAAATGCTAAACTATCAAGGAAAATAAAGTGAGAGGCATATTTTTAATATGTGAGTCAGAAATAGAAAATGTTACGGAAGACATGAGTGCATGCGAAAGGTTTACTTTTTCAGATGTGGTCTGTGTCCTTAAGGCCAGCAATATGGGGTCTGACTTTGGGTTTAAAAATATCTGGAGCGCCTTGTTAAATCTTTTGAACCTTTAAACAACATGTGTCGCTGTAGATTGATGGATCATTTAGAAATTAACTCATAACCCCTTATAGATTGATAACCAATCTACGAAGGGTTGGTTATTAGTGTTGACCTGGTGGTTAGGGCATAGAGCTTGGATCCTAGAGGTTCTGAGTTTGAGCCCCACTCCCACAGACTGCCACTCTGCGTCTCTGAGCAAAGACCCATAACCCCCATACTGCTCCCCAGGTGCCGCACATTGCAGAGAGTAATTTTGGTTGCTTTGTACTTGTGACAGTTTAATAACATAAAGTTGAATTCTACTGTCATTCTAACCAGCAACACCTGCTCAACTAAAATCATTGCTGATGATTTTCCACCCTGGAAATCTCTCATGCTTCAGCAAATATGCATCTCAACCTTTCCACCTCTAATCACTTTTTTTGAAAATAAATAAATTAGTTTTTCTAAACTTATTTTTCACCAAAAAAAAAATAAAGCATCTTGGGGTTTCTAACTAGCTGATTTTGAAGGATCTCATTTAAAATGTTCTTAGAAGCATTAAACTAAAATGACTGTAAATCCTTGACATTATTCTTCAGCATTTTTGACCGTTTGTGAAATATGATTGCTGTATTTTAAAAGTGTTTTTTTTTTTTTTTAAATAAGATTAGTTTGCATGCTTTAGTTGATCTTGTCATGCCCAGTTTAGCTTTCGTACGATGTTGATAGACTTTCATATTGAAACCAACAGATGAGCATGAACCAAGGTGGTTGACTTCAGTATTGTTTGTAGACATTTATAGTTTTACATAATGGTGTGTAAATCGATACTGTGTTGCATTGTTTGATTTATCTATAAAATTTAAGGGCTGTTGCATTTTAAAACAATCATTGTTAACGAGTTATGCAGATTATTTTTTATGTCGCTTGATTTTTTTTTATTTGATAAAAACAAAAAAAGAAATTTGAATTTTATGTGATAGACCAACATAAAGGGGAGTGAGGGTAGGGTTGGGAGATAACTTTTAGGTGTAGGGGACATCGATCAACCATGGTTTTAATTTGCTTAATTCTATTTGGTTGATACTTTCTAAAACCAGCATTATGGCTTTGAGGCAGTTTTGGATATGCCTCTACCTGCTTTAATGATTTAGACGCTTTAGACCGGCCCTTCAAACATTCTCATGTGCATTTAGTGTTAGACTTTGACTAGAACATCCCATTGTCCCGCTGTATATACAGTATAGTTGTCCTGCTGAATGTTTAAGCCATCAAAGTGAATTAAATCTTCTTCCCAAGTGTTCTCCAGCCTGTAAGAGGTTGTCTTCCAGGATTGTCAGTTTTTCCCTAAAAGCTAACCAGATTCTTGCTTCTCCCGAAGACGATGAAGAGAGCAACCTGCTGCTTCTCCAGTTATGGCCTCCTGGCTATTGGCGCACTAGTCCAAATTTACCAGGGTGGGGAAAATGTATTTCCTTCAGGGAACAGAAAAAAATTCAGTGTCATTCAGTTACATTTGGATTTCATGTTTCAGTATTTCTTATTCAAAACTGTTCAAATTAGTCAAAGCTAGAATATGTGCTGCCAGGGGCGGAATTAGGAAATTTGGAGCCCAAGGCAAAATTATACAGAAATGTTGATACAATAGATATATATTATTTCTTTTACGTTTTGTCCCTTTTCTTGTTGTTTTCCTCTCTATGTTTTGTACTCAGCTGATTTTTCATGCTGTCTCAAAAGGAATGAATTTTTTTTTCCATGCACAAAGCTCACTTAGCTGATTGCTCCTTCCTGTGTTTCCAAAAAGGCGACGGCAAAAGTAAATAATCCAGTCCTCCTTTTCACTGTAGACAAGCTGTGATCTGCTTATCTGTTCTCCATTTTTAATTTGTATGAAATAATAATAGCTGCATGAATCAAGACAGCAGACAAGATAGAGGAGAGCAGGAGGCGGGGTTACCAGTCTACTTGCTCTGGAGAGCAGAGTTAGCTGCTTTTATATTTTGCTGCCAAAGTCTCCACTACCAGAAAAAAAAGTTGCTAATTTTGGCGCTAGGTGCTTTTTTGAAATAAAAGTGCTAGAGTGGTCTGAAAAGTTTCTTAATATAGCGCAATGTTTGCTTTCAAATAGTTTGCTGCTGTCTGTTTGGAGCTTTCTGAACATGTGCCGCAAATGGACTGATCCAATATGGTGGACACTGAAGGGGAGGGAGGGCTGAGACACATTTGTTATAGGCGCTCTGATGTATTTTTATCAAAATCCCAATAGGAATAGTTGTATTAACCATACATGTAAACAGAGTTTTATGGGGCCCCAGGCAACTGCGTAGTACTGCCTAATGGTAAATCCCCCCCCTGTGTGCTGCATTATTACATTCGTAAGAACTAATGGAACAGCTGTGTAGAGTTCTTGTCCTGTCAATAGAGTAGGATTACAGTGAAATAATGGGTTTTACAAGAGTATTATGTTCAACGTCTTTGGAATAAAGATTAAAAGTTAAAGATATGCTTTGGAACATTATGTAACTGCACAATCATGATTCAGGAATAGTACAAAGTTACACATGTTTAATGAAAATTATCAGTTTCAATGAAATCAGAAACTTACAGAAAAAATATTTTTTTTTAGTTTCAAAATAGCTTTGAGATCGAGACCTCAGATCAAGTAGATGTAAAATGGTGATCTCATCTAAAAAAATCTATTAAGCTTAAAGTGCATCACCTTATGTTTTGAACCAGGTTTTGATGTCTATCATCATAAGGCATTTATGTAATATAATGTTTTAAGTATAGGGTTAATCACCAGCATGTTGGCCCATGTCTAGAACCACCCATGCTCCTGGCTATGCTAGTTAGCTTAGCAGTTTTTAATCATACTCCATCTTCAGCTGATCATTTAAACTTTGCTCTGTGATAGGTCAGGTCTTCTTTTTATTTATGGGTGTCAAAGTAAAGGGTGCCAAATCTAAATTAACCCTTGTGTTGGTCTATCATAATTTCCAAAAAATAAAACTTATTTAGCAGGAATGCTTCTGCAGGTGCTGTGAAAAACAAACTTGACTGTTAAGGACTAACTTGTTGAGGTGCATGAGTTAGAGAAAGCATGCCTTATTTCTGGCTGCAGCATGTGGTCAGGAAAAAAAGCAAAGATGTCACATTTGACTTTTTTATTGTACAGATTTCTTGTCAGATGTATTTGAATGCAACAGGTTTTTTTCTAATGATCAACTTAGAATATGTGATTAAACAAACTTTGTATGTGAAATAAAGGCTTAGCGCCTTGGTGGCTCCAGCAATAAACTTGTTTGAAAGAAAAACAAAATAAAAAGAATGATTTTTTTTTGTGCAAAACATTATTTTCCAGGCAGTTTAAAGTGATGTAGGAGCTCCATTGCCACACAAACAATAAGAGTTACTCAGGCACTGACAGAGTGGCTTCAGCTCAGCAGCATAAACATCAAAGTGTATGTATTTAGGCCAGTGTGACGTATGTAGCGTCTGTAGTGACGCCGCAGTTGTTGTCCTTCATAGACATCAGGATGTAGCCATCGTTGCCCCAGTATGTGGACCAAGAGTTCTTAATCAGCCAGTATGGCTCTCCGTTCAAAACGCCATATCCCACTGCGAGCACAGCGTGGTCCAGGTCATCCGTGGTGTTTCCTACAGGAACCACAGAACCAAAACCATTAGCCTGAAAAAAGGACCAAAAATGGTTGAAACACAAGAAAGAAGTCAACTGACCGCATGCTGGCTCATAGTAAACGCCGTGGCTATAAAAGACGAACGATCGATGTGAAGCGTCGATGCTGACAGCCGCCGGCCCATTCTTGAAGAGGGCCACCTTGAGGGCGTCGGCGTCCCCTGATGTGACGTTGGTGTAGCTTTTGATGTGCGCGGTGAGCTGGGAGGAGTTCAGATGGCAGAATCCATTCTGTTCAGGGAGGAAAAGAAAAAGATTCATACTAGACCTGATTACAAGAGACTAAGCTATGCTAGCAGTCATACAGAACCAGGATTCAGAAACCTATTCTACCATTTGGTCTCATCTGGGAGCTACAGCCTCTTCCAAAAATAATTACATGTTTTGTGGTTTCTGATATTTATGAATGATGTCCAGCTGGAAACTGAAGCTCTACTACAGTCTCTAGTCTTCTGTAGCCTCCAACAGCATCATCCTGTGCTTAGCAGTTTAGGGCTGGGCGATATAGCTTAAAAATCTAATCTCTGGTTCTTTTCATAGCAAATCCAATAAATTGATATTTTCCCCTCTTAAATGACATAACAAAATGCTTAAAGAAACTAGCTTTCATTTCAAATCCCCCCCTTTGAGAAAAGGAACCATAATTAAAGGGTGGTAAAAATGCTTGTCAAACAATATTTCACCACAAGAAATGAGCATACACATACATGAGGTTTAACACAGTCTGATGGTTTCAGTTGTGCAGAGGTGGATAATCCAGGTCCAGAAAGTAGAAGGCCTGTACAGAGATCAGATCCAACCATCTGCATTTCCAGCTCAACAATGCAAACTAATCACCTGGTTAAGTGAACAGGATGAAGGAAAACAAGGCAGGGTTTTTACTTTCTGGACCTGGATTATCCAACTCTGGCTGTAAGTAAACATCTTGCAAGAACTGCCGTCATCCTGACCTATTGAAGCCCAAGAGGTGCATTAATGGAAAATAAAAAAAAACTCAGATTTTGCTAAAACTACACCTTAAACATAAAATTAGCTATACAGATTTTTATCTTAGCCCGGCTTCTTGTCTTTCCTCTAAAGAGTGACCGCGCAGCATGATGCTGCCGTGACGGGCTGCTTTGATCTTCCTGACACCTATAAAAGTAGAAAAGTCAGCTTTGTGGAGAGCACATTTAACAGCTGCACAGCCAACAGGCACCACCACCCGGGTTTACCAGGATGCAAAACTTTTACACATGAGACACTAAAGCCTTCTATGTGAGAAGTTCAAAGCCTGATTCATTTTATATCATAGTTTAAGTACATAAAATGTTTATTTGATGGTTGGATAGTGAGAAAAAAAAACAAGCTTTAAAACTAAGTAGCAAAAAGCAGCTTAAAAATATTTTTATGTATACAGAGCTAAGGTGGGAAATGTTTGAAAATGACCTCATCTGGAAAACTTTGTGCGGCTCTGAACTGCTGACCTGACTAATGTGGAAAATGAGGCGACAGGTTCCAATCACACCTACAGTGTTTCAGCTTTTAAAACTAATATGAAACACCTCCTCAGCTGGTATTTTTTATTTTTTTAAATGATCCATGTTCTGATTCTGAAATTCATTCATCTCACCATTCCCATATATGCTCCGTATGTTTCTGTGGTGGCGATGCCTCCGTGTTTCATAATCCACTCGTACGCCCTCCATTCCTCTCCTCCGTCGCAGCCGTTGTTGCCAAAGCCCCAGGAACAGTCTACCAGCATCTGCTGGGACAGGACCTGCAGGGAGCCAGTCTGAAAGACAAGAACCAAGGTCAGCAACCTGTGCTGCTCTGTAGCTCTGAATGGCATCAAACAGCACTGAACACCACAGTGCTCAGTCTTTTGTAACAAGTTTGTTTACACATAGATCTTTGATTGATGGCAACTCCTCTTATCTTTACTGACATTTTACTATCCAACCCTAAAAGGTTCTAGATCTACACACAATTATTCTACAAAGGATGTTCAGTGCAAGAGCACTTTGCAAAAAAGCAGGAGGATGACAGCAGTCTTATTGTGGGAGGAATATTTAATCATCACCTGAAGAATCACTGTAACTGCAGAAACAGAAGTTCTCTGACATTACTGTCATGAAGCAAGGAAGGAGAAATGGCATGAAGCAAGGAAGGAAGGAAGGAAGGAAGGAGAAATGACATGAAGCAAGGAAGGAAGGAGAACTGGCAGGAAGCAAGGAAGGAAGGAAGGAGAACTGGCAGGAAGCAAGGAAGGAAGGAAGGAGAACTGGCAGGAAGCAAGGAAGGAAGGAAAGAGCACTGGCAGGAAGGAAGGAAAGAACTGGCAGGAAGCAAGGAAGGAGAAATGACATGAAGCAAGGAAGGAAGGAGAAATGACATGAAGCAAGGAAGGAAGGAGATATGGCAGGAAGCAAGGAAGGAAGGAAGGAGAACTGGCAGGAAGCAAGGAAGGAAGGAAGGAGAACTGGCAGGAAGCAAGGAAGGAAGGAAAGAGCACTGGCAGGAAGGAAGGAAAGAACTGGCAGGAAGCAAGGAAGGAGAAATGGCATGAAGCAAGGAAGGAAGGAAGGAAGGAAGGAGAAATGACATGAAGCAAGGAAGGAAGGAGAACTGGCAGGAAGCAAGGAAGGAAGGAAGGAGAACTGGCAGGAAGCAAGGAAGGAAGGAAAGAGAACTGGCATGAAGCAAGGAAGGAAGGAAGGAGAAATGGCATGAAGCAAGGAAGGAAGGAAGGAGAAATCACATGAAGCAAGGAAGGAAGGAAGGAGAACTGACAAGAAGCAAGGAAGGAGAACTGGCAGGAAGCAAGGAAGGAGAACTGGCAGGAAGCAAGGAAGGAAGGAAAGAGCACTGGCAGGAAGCAAGGAAGGAAGGAAAGAGCACTGGCAGGAAGCAAGGAAGGAAGGAAAGAACTGGCAGGAAGCAAGGAAGGAGAAATGGCATGAAGCAAGGAAGGAAGGAGAAATGACATGAAGCAAGGAAGGAAGGAGAACTGGCAGGAAGCAAGGAAGGAAGGAAGGAAGGAGAACTGGCAGGAAGCAAGGAAGGAAGGAAAGAGAACTGGCATGAAGCAAGGAAGGAAGGAAGGAGAAATGGCATGAGGCAAGGAAGGAAGGAAGGAGAAAATGACATGAAGCAAGGAAGGAAGGAAGGAAGGAAGGAGAACTGGCAGGAAGCAAGGAAGGAAGGAAAGAGAACTGGCATGAAGGAAGGAAGGAGAAATGGCATGAAGCAAGGAAGGAAGGAAGGAAGGAGAAATGGCATGAAGCAAGGAAGGAAGGAAGGAAGAAAGATAGATCTGGGTGTGTGGAAGGATACTAAGGTTATTACATGTATTCTTTACAAATGCCTCCTTTTTATCATTAGCTCTTCCTTCCCTTCAGTAAAATTCCCAGGAAAACTTTAAATCGGAGATCTGAGTTTTTCCACTCCCTGATTTAACAAATAATACAGTAATAATACAGTAATTTTTGTCTAAAATGATTTAAAAAAATCATGTGATAAATGTAGATAAAGGCTTAAAATAGGAATCACAGCATCTGATAGGACTTCTAAAAATCCAAATACTTTTCATGCAGACTTCTAGAAAATTCATGTGGGAAAACACCTAAAAACTGTCCTAAACCTGCACACATGTATTGGAACAGATCGGCTAATTTTTCATCACCAAAACCAAAGCCCAGAGCTCCGAAGACCACACAAAGGGAACATTAAACATTTGGACCAGCTGTTTCCGAAGAATCTTTAGACAGATGCTGGGAGATCGTCTGGAAGTAAATTTAAAAACGGCCCCCGAGGAGTGGCTCTGTTTACGAAGCTGCTGGTGAAGCCTGGGGGTCACCGATTTGTTCAGGTCGTTGTCCTGCTGCGCCACATCCTGGCAGATGTACAAAGGCAGAGCGCTGGGGCGCTCACACCAGTGCTTCCTCCAAGTCAGAACATTCTGTTCCTGCCATGGCTGCAGAACAATTAGGTGCACCGACTCCATACAGGTCCCTGATTGAGCTCGACATCTGTCGCTAGGACTCTAACTCAAGGCTTCCAAAAAGAACAGCATAAACAAGCCTCCGATCAGAGGTGGATTAATCTAACGATCAGAGGAACCAGTAATCCAGGATAAATTCAACAGTCCTTTATGAAAGTAGCCAGTTTGAAAACATTTTGAAAATAAAATCTGAAAAGTGTGGTGAGAATATTTATGCAGCCTCATTTATAAAAAAAATATATAACAATACCAACAATTTAGGTTTGGGTTATCAATTAGGGTCAAGTTTAACAGAAAGTACCAAGTACCATTAACACAATGGTTCTGCTAAGTTAAAGTAACCCATCTTACTCCAAACTGGACCTGAGCCCATCGTTCACCCAGTTACTGGTGAAGAACAAGACGGGACTAAGAGCGGTGTGTGAGAGAGGCCGAGTCGAAGAATTTGGTCACTTCAATGGGGTGCCATCAGACCCCATAATAAACCGCTTGGATGTTTGGATCAGTTGCTAGGAAACGCAGGAGAAGGAATCCCTTTGAACCTTTCCTTCTTTGTGACGGAAGAGGAGAGACAGAAACCTGCATTTACCCGGCGCCATTTATTCACAGCGACTGCCAAGCCCGTCCATTGGGTGCGGAAACGTTCACCATGAATCATGTTGTGGACCGACCCTCTGCTCTGTAGAGTGTGGTGGGAGTGTACACCACCTGGCTCATTTCATGATGGGAATATTTTTTTACTCTATTAAGTACCACTTGTTTCCAGTACGTGTACTTTATTTGAATATAAAGTTTTCTGAGGACATTTTATTTTTACTCGCTACGTTTGAGAACAGATTTGTGAACTTTCATACCGCTTTTCCAAAACCCTGTTATTCCTAAAAGGTAGTGATAAGAAGTTTTGAGAGCCGATTACCGTAAATTCCGGACTATAGAGTGCACTTGATTACAAGCCGCACGCTGTAATTTTTGAAAGAAAATAAATTTTGTGCGTTTATAAGCTGTTTGGTACAAGCTTTATGATCCTTTTTGAAATTTTCAGGCAACAAGCAAATATCAACTTAAATTGAGATGTATTGGATGGTTTTAAAGTCAATGTGGAGCACTTCTTAAAAACTCCCTTATGTAACGTCATATCCATCTCTGAAGGTGTCATGTGACCCATTTTTTTATGTCTGCCAACAGTGAGCAAAATATCAATATTTATATTTTTTCTGCCAATATAAAACTATTTCCCATATGTAAAAGATTTAAAGGTTAAGCATCTGATCTGACCTGCTTCTATTTCTGCTGAAGGAAACAAAGTCCACTGCATGACGCTGCCAACACCATGTTTTACCACCATGGGACCATTTTTAGGGAAGCTTGCGACGTTACTTTCATGCAGTAAGTCTCATTATAATTTTCAGTCTTTTTTCCAGGAAAGTTTTGCTTGCACATCACACATTTCAGATTTTTATTCCTAAAAAAAGTTTCAAAACCATACATCACTTTATGCACTTTTTTAGGTCTTTCTGTAACATAAACACAATTAAAATCTGGATTGTTTTTTGTGTTTTTTAAGGTGATGTTACAAGGTGTGAATATACTCTCCCTAAGGACTCATAACTTGATCGTTGTTTTGTTTGACTTCCTAGTTAAAAAAAAACTTTTTTATTAATACATTTTAAATGTCATACGGCCTAAGTTCCACATTTTTCTTGGTAATTTCAGAACAATGTCATCAATTCATCCACACCAGACTCACCCACAATCAGAATAAAGTAACATGAAGAGAGGAGGCACTGTGCTAAATATCTGCAACCTTAAAGAACAGCGCCAATTCCATTTTCACCTTTAGGAAAAGAGCGCCCTCTACTGCTCCAGTGGTGGCAAAGCTCCAGCAGGAGCCACAGATGGCTTGGTCCTTCACTGGAGTCACAGCACCTAAATAAAAATAAATAATTCTGGATGATGAACAGGAGCCCTGATGGACAAATCCAACTTCAGCCAATATAAAGTCTCAGACATACCGTAGAGCCTCCAGTCGAGGGACTCTGGTACTTTCACTCCTTCATACAGCTTGGATGGGAACGGTAGCCCATTGTTCAGGGTCTTACTTTGCTTTCTCCCCCTCATGGTTGCTAACTCTGACAAGGTGCGATCTGATAGAGAGTTTAGAGCCAAGGAGAAGGACAGACCGGCTCTGTTCTTAGAGTGGACATATCTACAACACCAAGAAAACATGACAAGAGACGTTTTTAAAACTCTAAACAAAAATATATTTGTTAAGCGTTACAAATCAAAGTGAGGCTTGTTCCTTTAACCTGAGGTTGTGAAGGAAAGCATGCTCCCTCTTCTCGTGCTCCCTGTCGTCGCCGTACTGACGCTGGAACTTCTCCTTGAAATGAAGGAAGACCTTCTGAGAGTGACCTGAAGCAGAGGTATGGATGAGATCTTTCATTGGATTAGCCAGCAGGTGGTGCTCCACACCCGGACCAGGAAACCCCCCACAGCTCATCCCTAAAGGACAGAAGAAAAGCAGGTTATGGTTACTGAAAGGTTTGGTTACACTTCAAAAAATTTAAATCTAAGAAAGTCATTTTTTTCTTAAAATAAGTTCACTTTTCCTTGAATTAAGCAGGTAAGTGAGACACATTAAGATAAGAAAAAGCAAATGCAGTCTCTTATATCAAGTGCATAATATCCATCTTATTTTAATGGTAAACCTGCTCATTCCAATGGCAGATCATCTTTTTTCTTACTAAAATTAAGGGTAAATACACTTATTTTAAGAAATGTATACTCATTTTCAGAACGTTTTCAGTTAGATCCATGACTCGCGCTCAAACCTTCAGGCAGAGAGAAGACTTTGGGGTCAAATCGGGTGCTGAACTCCTTGTAGTCCACCAGGTACTTGTCATAATGGGAACCCAGCAGCGTGTTGTAGCCCATCATCTCATAGTGCAGGGGTACAGATGTTGTTTTCTGTCCGGCGGAGCTTCCCTCCTCCTTCTTGACCCACAGCGTGTAGGTGTTCTTCTTGTGACCCATGGTGGTCACATTCTGCCAGACTTCACACAGGGAGCCGCCATAATACTCCATCCTCAGGAACTACAGAGAAAAATAATCAGTAACTCAGTGAATGAAGGGATGTAACCAGAAAACAGTCATCCTGTTTAACTACATGATCAGTTCCAGTCTATGTTTTGAAACAGGAAAATCCAAATGGCTAAAATGATCTCTGTAAAGGCTTTTTATCTTCTGGACCTCGATTATCCACCTCTGCTCGTTTAGAAAAGTAATAACTGGATTAAATCTGCAACTATTGCCAATAATCCTCCACAGCAGCCAACTTTAAATGATGACTGTGGAATCTCCATCAACTAAAGATGCATAAAGGGTCAGATTGTGTTTCTGTTTATGTAAGCACTTATTAAATTAGGCTGCATTTTTTCCTAGACGTACTAATACAAGAATTTAAATGAATGAGATTAACATCAAGGGCTCCCTTTACATTGACATTTAGCCACAATGACGCTGTAGACATTGACATCCAAAGCTTCAGCTGCCCTGATCAGAAGCTTAATGAAAGGCAGTAGGAATCCAAGATCGACAGATATTAAGTTATTTTTAAGGGCTAAAACCAGTAGCAGTTAGTTTGACATCAGTCTAACGGATTCCTGAAGTTTGCTGCCTTTATCTTTTTGGAAGGGCTGATTCTTGAAGCCGCAATTGCTTTTTCTTCCATGCACGTATAAACATAACAAAAGTCTCAATTCAAATAAATAATAAAAATTAAGAAATAAAAAATGACTTTAATCTCAGAATTCTGACTTTAATCTCAGAATTCTGAGAAAAAAGAATTCTGAGATTAAAGTCAGAATTCTGAGATTAAAGTCAGAATTCTGAGATTAAAGTCAGAATTCTGAGATTAAAGTAATTTATTATTTTTTTTATTTATTTGAATTGAGACATTAAAGTCAGAATTCTGAGAAAAAAGTCAGAATTCTGAGAAAAAAGTCAGAATCCTGAGAAAAAAGTCAGAATCCTGAGAAAAAAGTCAGAATCCTGAGAAAAAAGTCAGAATCCTGAGAAAAAAGTCAGAATCCTGAGAAAAAAGTCAGAATCCTGAGAAAAAAGTCAGAATCCTGAGAAAAAAGTCAGAATCCTGAGAAAAAAGTCAGAATCCTGAGAAAAAAGTCAGAATCCTGAGAAAAAAGTCAGAATCCTGAGAAAAAAGTCAGAATCCTGAGAAAAAAGTCAGAATCCTGAGAAAAAAGTCAGAATTCTGAGAAAAAAGTCAGAATTCTGAGAAAAAAGTCAGAATTCTAAGAAAAAAGTCAGAATTCTAAGAAAAAAGTCAGAATTCTAAGAAAAAAGTCAGAATCCTGAGAAAAAAGTCAGAATTCTAAGAAAAAAGTCAGAATTCTAAGAAAAAAGTCAGAATCCTGAGAAAAAAGTCAGAATCCTGAGAAAAAAGTCAGAATCCTGAGAAAAAAGTCAGAATCCTGAGAAAAAAGTCAGAATCCTGAGAAAAAAGTCAGAATTCTAAGAAAAAAGTCAGAATTCTGAGAAAAAAGTCAGAATTCTAAGAAAAAAGTCAGAATTCTAAGAAAAAAGTCAGAATTCTAAGAAAAAAGTCAGAATTCTAAGAAAAAAGTCAGAATTTTTTCCCCATACTATATTGAAAAAAAAAAAAAAAAAATCATCAGTTAACTTTTTTTTTTTCCAGTGGCCCTAATCCTCTTCTGTAAAAGAACCATTCTGCAGGAGTCTGAAAGATTAAAAGCTGCTTAAAAGCTGCAAACATTGAAGATTTGATGACTAATTATGATATTTTAATAAAACAAGACTTATTGTTTCATATCTAATGTAAAAAAATGTGTTTCCATTTTTAACTACACTATTTTTAGCTTTAAAATGAGGAAAACGGTTAAACATTTCATAAAGATGAAGTGCAAATTTTACTCTATAGGATTTTATTTCGCCTAAAAAAGCCAACAACAAGAAGAATACATCTAAAGACAAATTTGTCATTTTAATGTCATTTAATCAAATTATATTTAAAAAAACCAAATAAAGCTTCTAAGACTGATATGCATTATTTAGTTGTTTCTTAATATCATTTTAGGCCACTATTAAAAGCTACTGTGGAGGTTCCAAAGAAGCTGCATACTGTATCAGCTGATACAGATACAAAAAAAAAATGCTAAAATGTCAGCCAGTCGATGTACGGGCCCATCTCTAGCAGGAAGGATCTCTAACACACCTAAACAAAACAATGTTGCTTATTTGGTGCAAACAGCCAACTTAACATTATCAGGTCATTATCCCTGTTTTTAAATCAATAAAGAAGCAGTGATGAAAAATTTCCAGCAACAAATAAGAGTGGGCCTTAATAATCTAAAACCTAGCCTAAATGAAATGCTGGGTCAAAAAAAATTAATAATGTAATAAATGCTTCTAAAATAAAATTTAAAAAAAATCAGAAACAGACATCTGTCCGATATAAGCAACAAATAAATAAATGCATAGAATGACTACCAGAATATATCAGCCTGCATCTAACAACTCATTGGCATGCTGATGAAAAAACTTTGCTTCTGTCTAAGATTTATGTAACCAATACTTGTTAATAATAAATGGGTGAGTTGCTCTCCAACAGTTTTGTGGAAAATTATTTTCTGTTGGAGGAACATCACTAGATCAAGCCTTTTCTAACATTTTACTTTACAAAACGAGTAATAAAAGCAAGCATGATTTACGCAGATATCGTATCAGGTCAAAAATCTGTTGGCATCTTTTGGAAATGAAAAAGTTGTATCTGGAATTGGCAAACTGAAGGATCCAGTCTATCTTCAGTAAACCTGTCTAATGTCTAAACCTTACAGTAGATTCTATCATAAAGCGCTTTCAGGTCACAGAAACATCCCTCTTAGATGGTGAAGCTGTTTTAGATAAAAGGACCTCAAGGTGGCTACTTAAAACTGTTATGACGCATTTCAGACTGAAGTCAACGAAAGTGGCGACCTCGTGGTTAGGGCATAGAGGTTGGAATCCTGAGGTTCTGAGCTCGAGCCCCACTCCCACAGCCTGCACTCTGGGTCCATGAGCAAGATCCTTACTAACACACTGCTCTCCGGGCGCCCCACGATGCCAGCCCACTGCTCTCCAAGGGTATGGGTTAAATGCAGAGGTAAGTTTCTCCAATATGAGATCAATACGTTTTAATTATTATTATTATTAAAGGCATAAGAAGCTTCTAGAAAGGATTCTGTGGGTTGCTGGGCTTTTTTTACCTGTAAAAACAGGTTGTTCCTGGTAATTAATACAACAGATGACGAGAGCTTTATGAAAGAAAAAAGGGCCTAAACTCATGCATAGAACTCAGATATTTAGAATGATGAAACCAATTTCCTCTTAAAATTTAACAGGATTAAATCTAAAAAAAATCATACAGAGAAAATGAACAGATTTTTACAGCGCTGCTCTCAAATGTCGATACTTGTCACTTTTTTTTTTTTGACTGCCTAGCTCTTATATCTATTTGAGCTGTTCTGTGTCTTCCCATTTTCTTCAACCCAACCGTGTGTCTTGCATAATAAAGAGGCCTAATGTCACTCTGGTTGAAAGGGATTTCTGCTTCCTCCTACTTTATTGCTTAGAGAGATTACGCAAAACATAACTTATCGAGGTGTACATATTTATTATACTGAACAAACTAGGTGTTTTTAGTGCTTATCAAGAATGATAAAGATTAAGCCTAACATTTCCATGATGGTATCTGGATTTAAATGCAAATGCAAATTTAAATTAAAAAACAAACAAAATGCAATGCATTATTGCCAACAGATAACCTGGAAAGGGTTCTTAAAGTTGATATAGCGGAATAAATGTACCTGGAAGCCTTGCACATCTGGTAGGGATGCTTGTGGTTTGACCACCTCATCCTTGGTGCCGTTAATCTGAAAGCACTTCATGACGTTTTGCTCCACCTCTGTGGTCTCAGGAGTTATTTTGTAGGAAACGCCAAACTGCTGCTGAGACGCCAACTGGTAGGTAGAGACCTGGCCTGGTAGGAGGGATAGAGAGGGATGTTTGATGCAGCATTAATCTTCCTGCAGTTTCATTGTTTTACAGGAGCCAAGAGATGATTTATTTTTTTATATTCCATCAAAACAAAAAAACAAAAAAAAGAATTGATGCTGCTTAGTGACAGATCAAATGCTAATTTAGTTTCACTCTTGTTCTTACGGCACCAGATCAGGTCAGTGTATCGAGTCAGCCTCCTCACTTTCAGAATACCAGCTGTTAAATTATGGCTCATATTTCAGTTGGAGAAGACGCTTTAGCACTTCTACACTTTTTGTCAAATTACAGTCAAAGGCTTTAATATCTAAGCCTGACCTTTTTTTGTATTATTTTGTTGTTTAAGAAATGAAAACCTCATAATGTGGAATACCTTTACATTAAACTGTTGCAAGTTAATGGTAATCTTTTGCCCATATTCATTCCTACGGTTTGCTGTCAGTCTTCTTTACTAAATAGCTAAAGCTCGGTTAAATAGACTGAAGACAAAGTGCAGGACTGGGATAGTCTAAAACATAAATGGCAACATTCACACTGCAGGCCTTGATGCTCAATTTTTTCTCGCGAAATCCAATTTTTTTTGCATTGCTGTTCACATGTCCAAATATATGTGACTTGAATGTGATCTCCTGTGTGAACTACATTCATACAACCCAAGTGTCCCGCATGCGCAGTAGAGGACGCAATGAGGTCACAAGCAAGCATGCTCTGAGTTTACAGAAGTTAACATAGGTGGTAGTGCTGGAGAATATATTCCAATCTTTCCCAACCTTAAAACCTCAATCTTTCCAAGATGATTAAACATAAATACTGCTCTCCGCACCATCGTCCACCATTGGTGTTGTTTTTCCTGCTACTTCTGCCTAGCAAGATCCGAAGAGTGACCACTGTCGGGTATGTCGGATGGATGCGACCTGGCCGTTCAGACAGAGGTCGCATATGAAAAGATCAGATTCGTATCGAATTCAGGACCACATAGCCAAGCGGCTGCTGTGTGAACGTTGACAATATGTCCTGATCCAAACAGTCTTGTAGCTCTTTTTTAGTCATTTACAAACATCAAATTTAAACATTACACAATTCTTATCTGTACCTATAATTAAATATATGGAGGGGAAAAAATCAGTTCAATAAAAAGCCTGAATGTCACATGAGTGAGCAGGTCAGGTTCTGCAATTGAACTTTATCTCTTTAGTTTCCAGTTCATATTTGATGATGTTGCAGTCTGGGCTTCTTTTCTGACACAACAGGATATCACATTTCTTAAAAAAAAAAAAAAAAACAGAGGCAGCTTCAAGATTATAATGTAGTTGAGCAGTTTTTTTTACCATGATAATAATCAATTCGGCTGGACTTTGCTGAGAGGTCAAACCAGCCTTCAAATGGCTCCACGATCTCAGCATAGGGCAAAGAGATCACTCCTGTAACAGGGATGACACTTTAGGTATAACTCCACAGATCCCTGTCATTAAGGCGGATCCTGTCATTTCTACAGCTTACCTTTGACATGATAACTGTCTCCAAAGTCAGGGAGGGGAGGCACAGCTTTTCCATTTGCGGCTGCAGATAATCCAAAATAAGATAAAACAATAAAAACATTTTTACATTTATTTATCCAGGGGGGAAAAAATCCCATTGAGATTAAAAACCTCTTTTTCAAGGGAGTCCTGGCCAAGAGGCAGCAAAGTTGCATTAGAAACATAGATACATTAAAATAAATGACAGGTACATAAATAAAAAAACAATTACAGATGCTTCAAATAATCCGTGTATCATTCGTTCTTTCTATTTTCAATTGTCAATCAAATAACAAAAAATAAAAAATTGACTGGTTATTTTGTTTTTTGTTTTTTATGGTTAAACCAAAAACGAAAAAAGGATTTGTTTTTCATATATCAATTCTAAGCTCAGATCAAGAATACGAAATGGAAAAACGGACAGCAACGCAGAATTTGATTTTAATATTTAATCGGTACAGTTTACGTGACCCGGAAGTTTGGTGGAGGTTTAGCTAAAAAAACAATTGGCTTACCACCACGTTTGATCAAGCTGCACCAGATAAGGCAGTCGGACCTATCAGCCATGGACAGTTACGCTCGAGGATCCAAGCGTGTGACTCTTAAGGACGAGGACATGACAACGGAGAAAATCAGCAGGATTTTCCAGGTATAACTTTTTTCTTGAAACTTTTCTGTGCACTGTACTTTTAACTAGCAACAACAAACAGCGTTCTACCGTCGCCATGGTAGCCACTTCATCACCCCACTGCCGCGCAAAGAGCTATTTCCGGGTCACGTAAACTGTACCGATTAAATATTAAAATCAAATTCTGCGTTGGTGTCCGTTTTTCCATTTCGTATTCTTGATCTGAGCTTAGAATTGATATATGAAAAACAAATCCTTTTTTCTTTAACCATAAAAAAACAAAAAACAAAATAACCAGTCAATTTTTTATTTTTTGATTGACAATTGAAAATAGAAAGAACGAATGTTTCAAAATATATTTTACCTTGCAGTAATAGATGACATACATTTTGTTAATTGGTTAGCTAAAACAAAAAACTCATGTAAATACTTAATGCTGTATGGAGGGAACTATAGTTTAACAGCAAAAGAGACTAAAATAAGTTATTTTATTTATCAGCTAATTTCTAAACCTGCTGCATCACAACAATAGCATGAACCATGCTAGCTCCTTTAACGGCTGTAATCAGCCTTCACTGACTACAAACAACAAAGGGCGAATACAATACAAGTCTCTTACCACAGGCAACCAACAAAAGAATTACGGTGATGAATAAAAGCCGCATATTTAAAACCAAGCTGAGAAAAGAGAGACAGAAAATGGGACAAACAACGCAGAAAGTCAAAGCATGACTCCAAATGCTGGCCCCCGGAACACCCTCCCGACTATTTAAATGGAGCAACCCGTTGACGTCCCGCCTCGACCAATCACATCAGAGAGAAGAAAGGTGTTGACCAATTAGATCTCAGAGGCGGGTTCTATTGGCTCAGTATCATGTGATGTGGGTCATATGACCTAAGACGGTCAGTAATGTTAGTTGACTAACTTATTGCTGTTCTTTGCACATTTTTAACGGACCAAGGAGCAGCTTTTTGTGCTGTTATTTAATAAAATCACATAATTAGATGAGAGATGAGAGATTATAAAACAATTTGTCGAAGTTTTTTAACTGTTGTTTTATTGAGCAAAAACTGAAATAATTCCTGATAGATCTATGGAACATAAAAATAAATGTTTTTGTCATAATGTTTACAAATAAAAGTATTGATATGCTTTAGTAATCTGCAGCCTGAGATAATCTTAAAGGAAGTCCAATGGAATCTCAACTTACTTTAGAATTTTTATATATTGATTTTTTAATAATTAAATCCACCAACAATAGGATGCTTCAAATATTGCTTAAAATAAATTAATATTTTAAAATTAAAATAAAACATTAATATAGTCCTTATAAGTATGTTAAATGTTGATTTAAAGTTGTACCTTGTGTCAAAAAAAGAACAGTCTGTAATGTCCGTACACATTAAATTAAGTATAAAAAAGGAGATGCCATTTACTAATTTTTTTATTGTCAACTTAAAAACTCTTGTTTTCTAAACATATAAACAAAATCATTAAATGGTTTATACAACTTCTATATGTTTATCTTCCAAAAACGCAAACTTTTAAGTTTAAAAGTTAAAACTAGCTAAATGGTGGAATATAGTTGACTAACTGGGTCCCTGATGTATTACAGTTCATATGGGCTTGAAAAAATATATTGACAAGCATTAGATCTGATTGCAAAAATTAAATATGAGAATTTATGAAAAAACATGATTTATGAAAATTAACTTTTTTTTTTTACAAATATTTAATTAATAAATTTTGTTTAACATTTTTTCAATGTTGAAACTACAACTGAAATTGTTTCAACCACATCTCAACATGCAGAGTTTTGAAGGTGGGTTGTGTGCCAGACTATTGAAAGTAGTTGGCTGGTGTGTAATAGTATTAATGAAGCTGCTCACTGTCACCTACTGTAAGGTGTTTGTTGAATAAAAATGAAATATCATTTTTATTATTTTAAAATCTCTTTTTTAAGCAAAACATTAGCTTACCGTAATTGGAATAAAGAAGGCTCCTGGTTCGATTCCAGTCCCGAGGTCTTTCTGCATGGAGTTTACATGTTCTCCCTGAGCATGCATGGGTTCTCTCCGGGTACTCCGGCTTCCTCCCACAGTGCAAAAACATGACTGCTGGTTAATTGGCTTCTCTAAAAAATTGTGAGTGTGTGTGAATGGTTGTTTGTCCTGTTTGTCTCTGTGTTGCCCTGCGATGGACTGGCGACCTGTTCATGGTGGACCCCGCTTCTAGACCGTAGATAGCTGGAGATAGGCACCAGCACCCCTCGCGACCCCGCTTGGGATAAGCATGTCTGAAAATAGATGGATGAACGGATGGAATAAAACATTCAAATTGATTAATTTATCATTATTTCATTTATGAACTTCAAGTAATGTTTCAAAATTTCAGAGAATAGTATTAACAATATTAAGGGTATTGCATCATTGCAAACCTATCATCCACTTGTACAGAATACGGAATCCTCATAGTGACACATGGTGGTGGTAGCAACATGCTATGGAGGTGTTTTCTTTTTCAGCTAGAAATGGAAAGCTGCTAAGAATGGTTGGAAAGGAATAATAGAAGTGGTATTTTGGAAGAAAACCTGTTAGAGACTTGTGTTTGAGTAGGAGGTTCACCTTCCACCAGAACGATGACACGAAATATAAACAAATCTGTTTGCACAGTCTACATAGTTTTAGTTTTAATGTGTCTTCAGAAATATCAAAAAAATGTCTCCATTAAAGTAAAAAAAGTAAAAATTGGTTTGAATAAATGTGAAAACCTACCAGGAAAAAGGATAATCAATTTGTAAACATAATACGACAAAGAAATCTATCAAAAAAACACAGGTACTGAGTTATCTATGTCAGCTTTTTTCATTTTATATCTTGATTTTATTAGAAATTACTTACCTAGCTGTGACATAAAAGTAACTTAAATAACCTCAAATTTAAGTTACTAATAAAAGTAACTTAAATAAATGTATTCAATATACATATGAATATATATTGAATACATATGAATCTATAATGAAATATCACCACTTGGTGTCAGTATGGCACAGGACATAACTGCACAAAAAATAAATAGGTTCCTCATGATTTGTGTCCAGTTACAGAGTCTCTGATTGAAATCCAGGGTTGTCTAATTTAACTGATTGGCAGCCTGCAGTCAGGATAGTGTTGAATTAGTACATGAAAGAAGTTAAAATGCATTTAACCGTAGCAGACATCAATCTGGTGGCAGTAACTTAAGTCATGAGAAGACTGTTAAGTGTGTCTTTAAATAGAAAACAGAGAAAACTGATGTTCTTTTTAGAGTAGAAAATAATGCAAACTTCATCTAAGGCAGAAAAAGCATGTTGATAAAGAAATAAGGTGGTCTAAATACCCAGCCTTGCTCACATATAGTACTAATTATGGGGTAGCATAACCCTGAGAGCACTGAAAGTTGTCTGAGTGTAATCTGATGACTCAAGCTCAGAGCTGTTACACAACATCTTTCCCCAAAGAAACCAAACCTCAAAGGCAAACAGGACCACCTTTTTTTTCTGCCTCCAAATCAGATCAGCATGTCATAACTTAGACATAACATTCTTCCTCTTACACATGGAGGATCACTTTCTCCTGCAACCAGTGTCTTAAAGTTTGGGAACCCAGAAGAAAACAAATCGCTGAAAAGCACAATGATTAATAGAAAGCCTCTGAAACTGGGCAGTTTACCATTAGTGACACAGAAGTGTGAAGGCTATCGAGAGCTGAACTTTAGAGCATTCTTGCCCTTCTGGATGCAGTATATGAGAAGAAAAAATGATGAATAGAGATTTTATTCCTTTTTTTTCTATTTATCCAAAAGTTTTTTTTTTATAAAAAGCCCATAGGTATAACCACCTCGAATCTGTGATGGGTAGCTGGGTATTTTAATATTTCTTGCATTTGAGTTTCTTGTTTGTGGTTTTCCTATTTTAATATTGTGTATTTCAAACTCTCTGTTCTGTGCTGTTCTTACTTCCTGCTTCTTTTTCTCACATTATTCTGTGCTTCTCTGTTATCTGTTAGTTTTGTGGCTTGACTTTTACCCATTTATTGATATCTATTCAGTGTTTGCTTTCTGTTCTGGCCCTCTGTCTATCTGCTTCTCACTTTTGATTCACTGACAACCTTTCATTTCATTCTCTCATTCTGTTACTGCTGCATTAGTTCAGCTTCACTTAATATTTATTTTTTTTGGCCTACATTTGGTTCTTTACACACAAAACCTTTACCATATGTTTTACCTTCTCGAGTGAATTTGCACATGTTGACAACGCAGAAAAAAAAGTCACTCTCCATTATGAGGATTCAATTTTCAATGTTTTTTTACAATACAAGTGCAAGTTTATTGGGATGTGCACAACATAAATAATTCAAAAAAAAGATAAACTTTCTAAGAATAGGAGTATTTTTTCTTAATCTAAACAGGTAAATAAGATGATCTGTCATTGGAAAAAGCTATTTTTACCCTTAAAACAAGTTAATTAGATATCATCTAATTGAAATCACATTTCTTCCCTTTATTCTAAACGTAAATCATCTCATTCCAAGTACAAATATCTCACTTATCTGCTCAAATCAAGAAAAAATAACTCACTAAGATCACATTTTATGTAAATTCATCCATTATCGTAACCGCTTATTCCCTTATGGGGTCACAAGGGGACTGGAGCCTATCCCAGTAGTCAATGGGCGAGAGGTGGGGAACACCCCAGTCCGAACCTTATTAAGGAACAGATAGAAGCTAACTAAGAAATGCAGGAGTAAAAGTAATCATGCAATTTAAGAATTAATTTAAAAGCAGGGAGAGAATAGGCCTGTCTAATTATCAGTGGGACACTGAGGAGCAGCTCACTAGCAGGCCTGAGTCAGTGGGATGTGAGTAAGGGTGGAGCAGCTCAGAGAGGTAGGAAGTACACTGCAAAAAATTTAAATCTAAGTAAGTTTATTTTTCTTCAAATAAGCATTTTTCTTGAATTGAGCAGTTGAGTGATACACTTTGCCAATGGAATAGGGCAATTTACATTTAAAATAAGAAAAAACAACTGCAGTTTCTTATTTCAAGTGCATAATATCTAATTATCTTATTTTATACTTATTTTAAGAGTAAAAATGCTCATTCCATTGGCAGATCATCTTATTTACCACCTCAAATTAAGGGTAAATACACTTAATTTATGACGCTTTTTTGCAGTGAAGAACGAGAGTTACTCATTAGAAAGTTTCATAAAGGCCATGTTTAATGCTTATCTTGTGCTAAACAATTACAACAGTAACCACAAAACACATAGAATACATGAGTATAAATATAAAGAATATCTCTACAACAGGTTAAGTGTCCAAATCACAAACACACACACAGTCACTCAAACACACAGACAGTCCAAAAACCAAATCATTTACTCAGCCACACAGAGAAAGCCCAGAATGCTCTCTGACCTTTGCACTTAGTGACACATTCACTCTTTCACAAGTCTGAATGGAAGACCAGTTATGGAGCTAAAGGGTTAGCAGGCTCCAAGTCTCTTTAGTGCTCACAGTTCCTTCCAGTTCCTTCCTTCACATTTCACCAGAATTGGCGAGCTAAGCTTTCCACAGTGGCCAGAGTGAAAAATGTTAAAACCGGAAAAAAACGGATCCCTGTGTGGAACCAGTAATAGGAATCTCAGATTAGGGTAAAAATGAAATGTTTAAAGCATTGGCGTTAACTCGAAGAGCACTGCACACCTTTAGGACATCGTTATGGCTTGCAAA